AAACCTGTCAAGGGCACCTGCGTTCTAACAGGGACACAACAGGCTCGCCAGGGCCACCACAGACCTGCCAAGGCCCAGGGACACCACAGGCCTAGCAAGGACACCACACGCCTGTCAGGGGCACCGCAGGCCTGTCAGGGCCCATGGGCACCTAAGTCATGTCAGGGCCCACCGTAGGCTTGTCAGGGGGCAGGGTAGGTCGGAACCGCAGTCTTTCCAGGGGCACCAGCGGCCTAGCAGGGGCACCAGTCATCACATGACTAACCAAAAATAAAGAAAATAAAAAAAACTGAAAATAGGGCACCACCAAAATTAAGTGGCCGAAATCCACCCACCCCCCCCCCCCCCAGTGGGGCGCGTTATAGAAAGACCCCAGTGGGGCGCGGGTTAAGCTGGTACCGAAATAATTGTTTTACCATGCATTGACAAATCAATTGCTCAAGCTTCAAACCAACCGAAATATAGCCCCGTGGGCCGTATTTTTTTTTTTTGGGGGGGGGGGGCCCTTCGGCATGGGGGGCCCAGTTCGAAGGTCGTGCCCCCCCCCCCCCATTCAAAAATCCTGTGTGCGCGCCTGCCGGTGGTTGCTCCCTGACAGCGAGAGGCAGGGCATTGAAAGCCGACACAGCACGGTACAAAAATCTCCTTCGGCCGGACTCGGACCTTATCCGTGGAAGAGCGAGGTCTGCGTCCTGCCGTGTGTTGCGCTCTCTCCCCTCTCCTACTGTGGAGAGCTGCTCGGCGATATCCCGATGAGCGCCGGTCACCAACATGCGCTTGAGTAGGCACAGAGTGTGGTAGGTCACCAGTTCACGAGCCGGGAGCCAGGTGAGAGTTATGAGTGCGTCACTCACGCGGTCATGCTTGCGCCGCCCCGTGATAACTCGTGCGCCGAAGTTAATCACCTTTTGAACACGAGACATGTTTTTGGCGACCGCAGTACCATAGACACTGATACAATATCTCACGGTTGACAGAACCAATGCGTTGACAATAGTGATAAGAGTCTCTTTCGGTAGTCTATATCTGGCATGACTAAGACCTATAAGAAGACCAGTGCATCGTCCGACAAGCTGATCTATATGGTACTCATAAGACAGCGTGCGGTCCATCACCACGCCCAAGTTTTTGACGCGATCACTCTCGTGGATGGTACTGCCGCTCACGGTAAGGGTAACAGGCGGAACACTTCGCAACATTTGGCGCGTACCCAAAAATATAAGCTGCGTCTTGCTGGAGTTCAGTTTCAAGGAATTTTGCATAAACCAGCGATGCAGGGTGTTTAGTGCACACTCCATGCGATGAACCAGTGATGCGATGTCACTTTTTCTGCCCGTAACGAGGAGCTGAGTTAAGTATCATCAGCGTATTGAACGATGGTCACCTCGCTCTCTACGTACAAACTGATGTCGTTCGAGTACACGGTGTACAACAAAGGTCCGAGCGAGGTACCTTGGTACACTCCAATCGGGTTTCTCATCGGTTTGGAGGTCACCTGTTCGTTCTGTGGCGACCTCATCCGAACGAATTGAAAATGATCCGAAAGGTAACTTTGGAACCACTCAGTGTTCACTCCATAAAGTTCAAGTTTTTGAAGCAGTTTGGCGTGATTCACATCAAAACATTTACTCAGGTCTAACAAGACAAGAAGACAGATATGACCCTGATCCATGGCCTGATGGATGCGATCGGTAATTTGAATAAGTGCCGTTTCGGTAGAATAGTTTCGGCGAAAGCCATGTTGGGCGGGAGCAAGAAGGCAGTTGTTGACGAAGAAAGAGTACAACTGTTCGTGAACTAGCCGTTCTATGATCTTTGAGAGACAGGGCACAAGCGATATAGGGCGAAAACTAGATGGGTCGGTGAGAGCACCGACTGACTTGTAAATGGGCTGTATCACGGAGACTTCCACGGCGTAGGTACTGTACTGGTGACCAAACTAGTGTTAGTTACGCAAAGGATCACATGTGCTATCGCGTCAAAGCAGGATTTCAAAAAATTCATCGTAATCCCGTCTGCATCACACGCCCCGCTGCCGGTCATGCACAGTACCGTCCCAGCCAGCAATTCGGTTGGGGAAAGTGCGGGGACAGTGTTGGGGAAAGCTTGGGGAGAACGTACAATTCCCCTATCGGATCGGGGAACGGTCCGTGTTCCCCATCCCTTCCCCGACTGTATCGGTAATGTGTTCAAAAGACATGGGGAAATCACACCGATCCCCGTACGGGGAAAGAGCAGCATTCCCCAATCAAACTCCACTGTTGGGGTTCGGTCGGGTAAAAGATCAGATTCCCCGTACGGGGAAGGGTGCGTTATCCCCGACCCATTTTCTAGAACAGTTTGATTGGGGAAAAGTAGGGGAACTGTTGAAATTCCCCGCTCGGGATTTTACACTTAATCCCCAGACGAATCCCAACCGCCAGTAGGACGTCTTGAGATCGACTTCCAGCATGTAATATTCAATAAAGAAAAATTGAATCTTGGGAATGTTAAAAGCAGTCTAAGGAGCAGTTCTAGAGCTATAGGCTCATGCATCGATTGAAGGGAGATATAATAAATAAAAATATAACGACATAACGATTTTTTATAATCGTTTTCATGACAGGTGATCTGGCGAATGCATCAAACAGTGACCAAATTTGCACCAAATCTCTTTTTCATATCTTCATATCATATAGGTACCTATTTATTTCAGTGTTTTAATCGAAAATAATGTCTGATAATTTTATCAAATCGGCACCGTATCTGGACCAAATGTCTACCAATTGTGTACCAGTTACCTATCATGAAAACGGTTATTCGCAGACATTTGATTGTAGACATTGGATCTATGTAATTTTCGACCTAAAAGAGAGGAAAAGCCGTCTTGGTTTACGGGGCCTGCTAAGCCGTGTGGATGAGGACACGCATACGCCATTACTTTGAACGAACGTTGGTGCCCTTATTTCATGAGGTAAACACAACTTTGACAACTTTCAGGATCTATGTTTCTTCTCGCACTGCTGTGGCATAAACATTACGTTTTCTTTCTTCTGTCATCACTCATCGCATTGAAATTACAAAAGCATCAAAATTTCAACAACACACTGCTTACGACTTAGAAGTGTCGCCTCAACGCAGCGAGGGGAGGGGAGGGAGGGGTAGCAACGGCCGGCCGCCGTCGCACCGTGGGGACTTATGCCATCGTAGCACGACATAAGTGGCAAATACGAGTATTTTGATATCCACTTTTTTGTCATCCATTTCACGTAGAATTGCCCAGTGCATCCATACCCGACCTTAAATCCTTTCAAAAACGATTGCTTACACCTCAAAACACCTCTCAAAGTGTAGCATTGCGCTGACCAGCATCCTGCTTCCCGGATATAGCGAAAAAACACATGACAATGAAACGCCCGCTCACTCGTTTTCCTGAACAGCAGCTTAAAGTTGCGATATGTTTTCATTATCTGTGTTTAATGAGGAAGATGATGGTATACACGAAAATTTCCAAACATCAACCAATAGTATCATTTTTGAAGGAAATACTAAAAATGTTAAAATGTTTTTGATTCCGGGAGTTGAATCAGCAAACTGTTACCCTACAAAGTTTGATACGGAGTGGTACGCGTGGAAACACATATCAAAATGTTCTCCAATAATTTCTGCATCGGGGGCAACTCTCATTTTTTGCCGAAATTTGCCTAAACCAGTCACTATGAGACGTCAAAGCAGACGGTGACGCGTGGTTTCTTACGCCCCGCCGGGCTGCGCCGCGGCGGGTTACCCGACCGCGGCACAGCGCCTGGGGGGTTTCCGGTCAGTAGGGGTTGGGAAGAGGGAGGGAGGGGGTGATACCATGTTGACGTTGTTATTTGGCATCGCCAAATATTGTTTTTGGATAAAACAACAACGCTGTTGCAACGCTGCGTCTACATTACTGGCTCCTACAGTCAATGTTCACCTTATGAAGCTTCAGTTATAGAGCTTTGATGTAGGCAAATCGAAAACTGATATAACTTCGTAAAGTGGGGTGTAGGTTTTGGGGGTGGTGATCACGAATTTCATGTTAGTTTTGATCAATGATGATCTTTTTCATGCAAGGTCGGGTCATGCTAGGCCCGACGATTAGATGCCCTGCCGCCTATCCATAATAGGCAGGTGTCAATCACTACTAATGGCTCCGTAACAGGTTACGTAAGCACCAAAACGTCTTAATAAAGGTTTTAACGGGTGTTAAATTCGAAATTATCTTCAAGCACTCATCTAGAAAAATGTTTACTCGGAAAGGTTAACTAAGGTCATCTAAGCTAAATGACCTCGACCTAACCTTCACATGACCTTAAAAATGCCAGGAACAAACAGCATTTCATATGTTGGAGCGTTAGCAACCACAACAAGCGCCGATAATGTGCGCTCACATGCGCCAAATCGATAGCAGCCTAACCTGGTCGGGAGAAACAGGTCATATGTCAAACCTTATGAAAGTCAAGGTCATGAACTTTTCAGTTCATGTATAAAATTGACCAACTCCAAGGTATAAAAAGTTTCGTCGCGTTCCACCACGCTTTGCTTGAGTAAGTTGCGAAAAACCGAGGAGGAGGATCTGTTCGACCCCCTCCCCTTCAAGTGCAAGGCTTCACAAGGTTAAGTCCGAAATGTCTTTTGATTATTGGGCTAAGCACGAGCAAATACCTATTTCTAAAAACAATTGTAGCTTCATTCCACTTCTTGAACACTTCCACGCCCACGATGCATTGCTAGCCGAAGACGACTTGGCGCTAAGTCTATGGGGAGGGGTGGGGGGAGGGATGGATGCAACAAGGGAGCCAACCATGTTGTCTGGGATCAGTAACCATTAGCCCAACCATTTGACGGCGAAATAAAGCGAGTAAAAGTAGCGTAGGGTGCGATATGAATTAAGTCGTGCTAGGATGGACAAAGTCCCCACAGTGCGTCGGTTCCGTCCGCACATCTGGTTGAGGGGCGTCTCCTGTCGCCATCTGTCATCGTGAATGGGGCCGTGCTGACGCGTCAGACGGGACGAACGGGGGAAGTCGGTCCAGAGTCACTGCGCCGCGCGGTTGTGTGAGCAAGCCGTGGGCTAGGTACCGCTCCAGGTCAGACAATGGTTGGCACTGAAGAGTGCGGTGACACTACAGAGCTGTGAACGAAGACGGTGAACGGCGAGATGTGGTGACCGCTTGACTGACCTGAGCCCAAAGTCGTGATCTACCGCTGGGGTCAGTGCGTGAGAAGCTGGACTCGGCAACAACGGAGGACGCAGATCGACGAGGAAGATATGCTGTGTTGGTAATGAACTAAAGCACTTAATTGTAACGAATCATGATAGATATAAAATGACGATGATACTAACTCAAATTTATTGTAAAAGACAAAGCTTCCGATACACACAATATCTTGATCACTGTCTAGGGTATGCAGAATATGACGTAAAAATGACTGAGGTCATCAACCTCCGTCTGAGATTATCCTTAAATTGCCCGGACAATATAATGTCATCAGCCTAATGCTTTATCTGCTTCTGTTCTAGAGGGACGTCTGCCGGTTACGACCGGAAGGCTTCCGACGGACTTGGCAGAACCCACACCAGCAGTATGAACCCGGCGTGGAGTTAATGCGTAATTGCTCGCATGAGCAACCGAAGAGCGACTTCCAGGCGAAGCTGGTAAGCAGTTTATGGGGGTGGGGGTTAGCTTAGAGCTGTTGAACAACCTGTCCTTCACCCAAGTCTAAAGGCTGAGACACACTCTTTCTACAGCCAGAAAATCTCATGCGAGAGCCCATTAATTAAATACATGAAATCACGATCGCTTACAGGGATGTGCGAACGATTGACGCGATTGTAATAAATACATGTATTTGAATAGGCTTTCGCATTCCATTTTTTTTTTGTCTTCGGAAAGAGCCTGTTTCAGCAGCTCTACTAGACAGCTCTGTGAAAGGAACTTCATTGTTATCTTGATAAACTAGCAACCGATTTTAATTGTCAAACGGCGTTCATTTATCTGTCAAGTGCTTTCGCGAGGAACTTCGTAAGGCGTAATATAGACGTAAAACATTTATTACCTAATGACTTTCCTGGAATGAGAAATGTTTAGAAGTACAAATTTAATTATTGAATATTTATTTCCTCTTTTAATTAACTATTCAAAGTATATCACATTCATTTTTAAGCACTTTTCGTGGGAAAAAGCTATAAATAAGTGTAATTTCATAAAATGGCATTCAACATGATTTAGCGTAAGCTGAAGTTTCCATAAAAGGACATTTCATGTAGTAGCTAACTGTAAAACCTGATTGATATACCTACAAGTGCACATTTTTTGTTTTTGTCCACAGCCGCAGAATTCCTGGAGATGCGCTGGGACATGGATCATAGCAAGGTGGCTCTCAGCGGCAGCTGACCGCTGAGATGTGTCTGAAACAGCCAGAAGGAAGACTCGAGTTGTGGATCCAGGGCACTACTGAACGGAAGGCCGGACCAGCTGTAGGGAGACTACAGAAAAGCCGTCGTTCTCAATCTGCTGAACAGACTCCTACTGCAGAGGATCAACTGGGGTTCGACGTGTTAGAACTGGGGTTAGACCGGTTACCAGTGCTCGTGTTCGTCACCTGTTGTTTGTCACTGCTGCGCTGCTGCTGTAATGTTTGCCACCTGCTAAGCGTTCACAATGTATTTTAAGTGAATAATAACTTTTTTAGTGTTTGTCTTGATTTGTAACGAGTATATCAATTATCAAGCATGTTAACCTTTCATCAAATGAAGGACTCCACATAAAAATAGTATAGGCTGTGGTGGTACAGACACATACCATGCTTTGCCGACTGTTGTGTATTGATCTAGTCGTTGAAGCGTCCTGAAAGTCTGGAAATAAACAGGCATGGCCAAATGGATTGTTTCTAATTATTTTCCTGTGTGGTTTTATCGTTTCTCTATTGCGGGGAAACAAGTGGACAATTTTGTTTGTATGTAAACAAGTATGTTTATACAAATATTTGTATGTTTACAGACAAAATAAATAGTCATTGTCAATTTTAATGGGACCCGATTTGTTTCCCAGTGCGGTTTATTACTGGCTTCTCCGTACGGGGAAAAAAGCAGACAAGGCAGTGGGGCCATTGCCAAGTCGGGGAACGGCCGGGGCTCGCGCGGGGAAAAGGTCTGGGAACGTTAGGGGAAAATCACGGTTTCCCCGATCGGGGAAGGTCTCCAGCAAGTATAAACCCGTATAGCCGGGTGGGGGAATGTGCGGGGCTCGCACAGGATCTTCTTGGGGAAAATGTTCGATAACCCCGTACGGGGAACCGACCTTATAAGGTCGGACCTTATAAGGTCGGTAACAACGGGTTTTAACCATAGTCGGCGCGGGGGTAGCCTGGGGGACGTTTGGGGAACGCTTGGGCAGTTATACCGTTTCCCCGTACGAATCCCGCACAAAGTTCCCCGTACAAAGTGTCTCAAATCCCAAGCGAACGCTCCGTTTTCCCCAAGAGAACGGTTGGGGTTTCCCCGAGCCTGCCCCAAGCTCGCCATAGGCCTTCCCCGTACGGGGAAAGCTCCGATTTGCTGGCTGGGGTAGCACGCAGCTCTCCCATAGTGGCAGGTCTCACACGGAACTGAGCGGTGGAGACACGGAGGAGTCGAACAGGCAGCTCACGGAAATCGGGAGGACGCGCGACAGTAACAGATTGGGCCGTTTTTACACCGATCTCCGTAAAAAACGCATTCAAGGCGTCAGGGGCCACATCCGGTAGTTTGTGGCCGGCGGCCATTCCGCTTATAATGTCCCGCACGCAACGGAACATGGCCGATCGTCCCGCCTCAGAGATCCGGCGTCTGACGTCCTCCCTCGAGTCGCGCTGGATGGCCGCACGCGCCTGGCAGTTTAGTTCGCGGTACGCCGTCTCGTCTCGCCCGCCGGCGGGCCATGATACGGCGGGTTCCGTCTGACACGGGCGGCGCGTCCGGGTTCCTGATTCTGAAGCGGCGAAGGGGCGCGTGGACCTCGAGTGTGCGCAGTAGACAATGTATGAAATAGTCATGCTGACGAGCGACATCGTCAGTGACGACTTGTTCCATAAACGCGAAAGAGGTGCTGCGGCACAGTATAACTGCAGGCGCTCTTCTGTCCTGCCATCTATTGATGAAAGATAAAAAACAGTGATTGTGCGGCACAGTATCACCGTGGATGTTAGCACTCATCCGTGGCCGTTACCTGCGTGTGGTTCATTTATTACATCCAGTGGCCAAGTTGTTGACATGCAGATGTAGGTCCTCTCCCGATCGGTTGCCTGGCTGGTGGGATATTGGACCGAAACCACACCCGTGTCAATGTTGCGGCGAATTTCGACGGGCAAAATTGAAAATTGGAAAAGTCAACCCACCCGTAACCGATTGAAAGTTGTCAGTTATCGGTCTTTGAGCAGGAAGAAAAATCACGGAAAATGTTAAAAATCACATTTTCCAACTTATAAAGACACCCTTCATGCTTCGTGCACGTCAAATGAAATCACTGTGCCGCTCTCCGATCTGCACATGCTGTTAGATAGCCCCACCAATGCTCTATACGTCAGCGGTTGCCCAATGTCGATCGGACGCTGCGTTCCCGTTTTATTGGTCCGGGAAGTGACCTGCGCCGCCCGCTTTACGTCATTTCGACGGAAGCGATACAGATCCGAAGGTTTCGATTTTTTAATGGCAAAACTGGCGCCTTGTGACAGATGTGGCGCATTGCGGCAAACGCGGTGCATTGGTCTGATCATACCATATTTGAAAAAGTTATCGACATTGTGCGATTTGCGACAAAAATGGCGCTTTGGACAAATGTGGCACATTACGGCAAACGCGGTGCATTTGTGTAAGCGCATTAAAACTGTCTTCATTTACCGAAAATCAACACCTTCATTCGCATCTGTTTATCGAAATAATAGCTGAAATCCGCAAATGAGAAGCATCCGCCGCCGATCGTCATGCATTTTATTGTCAAAGGCGATTGAACCCGGCTGCCGATGCCTTGAAGCAAGCTTGAGAGCCGAGCAAAATTTGGAGAAAATGCGCCTTTTTCCAGCGCGTGCCACGTGCAAACCATCCACCCCTCGAGACTCGAAACACGCCACTGCACGTGCGCGTGACGTCATCAACACTGTGTGCAAATTTCAGCCCCATCGAACGCACCGTTTGACCTGCGCACGGCGTCAAAGCACCCCTCTGCACGGTGCAAACACACAGACAGAAACACAGAGTTTCATTCTACAAATAGTATAGTAGACAATAGACATCCAGTGCCGTATCCACAATCTTGAGATTCTCTTTACTTTAAGGCCGCCCCACACTGGACCTCGCATGCGGGTTACGAGTTGCGGGTTTTGAGTCTGCGGGCATAATACAAATTCAGAGTGATTAGACCGTTCCCTTATGGTAACTTCATGAATGATGTGAAGCTGGTACACCTTCAGAAAATTGTATATAGTCGCAATACCAGCGCAACGAACCAAAATTCGACTCCAACGAAAAACCCGCAAGGCTCGCAGAACTCGCAGACCTCGCAGCGAGGAAAGTCGAAAGTTGACTCAAAATCAACTTTTGGAATGCGATGCAAGGATGCTCGCATGCTAAAAACACGCAGACTCGCTTGTTTGATGGCAGTGTGGGTCGCTCACCATCACATGAATTCTTATATATTACTGACTGGGCCGACGAAAGTATTTGGAAACGAGGTTTGAAAATTGACGGAGGCCCGAGTGCGGAGCACGAGGGCCGGAGTCAAAGTTTGCAAGCCGAGTTGCAAGGTCAGTAAGATTTGCAAGGTCAGTAAGATTTTTCCTACATGCCGCATTTACACTTTTCCCCATTTACACGCAGACCGGCCTCTGCCAAGCGTCCCAACACGGTCCGGAGGGCGGAGTTATGACTCTCCTCGTCGGAGCCAGCCACAACCAAATCGTCCAAGAACACTCCCACTCCCGGGATACCACCCAGCAGAGTCTCTATCGTGCGTTGAAATAGTGACACGGCCGACGCGTAGCCAAAACTCAGACGCCGTGGCCTCAGTAACCCCCTGGGGGTATTTACTGTCAGATACTCTCGAGATCTCTCGTCTAACACAAGCTGGTTGTACGCGCTCTTTAGGTCCAACTTTGAAAACACAGTGCAGCCACACAGCTTTGAAAACAACTCCTCGACCCGCGGTAGGGGATATTGTTCTACTTTCGCTGCGCGATTTACTGTGAGCCGATAGTCCCCACAAATTCGGATCCCCCCTTCCGCTTTGGGGACCACCACCGGCGGAGCAGCCCACTTACTGTGACGTACCGGCTCCCACAGTCCAAGTTGAACCTGCTTCTCCAGCTCCTTGTCGACAGCTTCCCGGTAAGCCAGCGGGACAGTGCGCGGCTTAAAGAAGCGCGGCTGCACGTCCGGGTCGACATCGATGGTGACCTCACCGCCCCGGTAGCACCCCAGCTCGTCCCGGAACACCTCCGGGAACTCCTCCAGTATGGGCTGCACCGAACACGGCGGCGCCACGCGACACACTGAGGGCCAGTCAAGCCGGATGTGACTGAGCCAGTTACGGCCAAACAGGCATGGCCCGCTCCCCTTCACCACGATCAGTGGCAGGCGTGTCGTATTCCCGCCGTACTCCACGCTCACCATCGCCTGCCCCCGCACGGACAGCAACTCACCGCTGTAAGTCTTAAGCGACACACCGCACGGCTCCAGGGCTGGTCCTCCGTCGGGCCACAGGTGTCGAAACACCGCGTCGGAGCACACGGAGAGCGCGGCTCCCGTGTCCAGCTCCATATCCACCGCGCGGCCGTCTAGGCCCACTCTCACCATCAGCGGCGGCCGCCGCTCGCACACACCTGGCCGCACACTGAACAAGGCATATGCCTCATCGCACATCTCACTACTCTCGGGGGCCGGCACCTCCCGGCGCGGCCGCGGTAGCACGTCACTCGAGTCCTCCTCCGTCGGTGCCGCCGCAGCTGACGTCTCCCCATCGGCTGACAACTGGCGCAGATGCTGCTGGCTCCATCTCCCGCAAGCAGCTCTGATGTGGCCCCGCCTTCCGCAGGCAAAGCAGAACTTCCCGCGAAACGGGCATGACGCTGCAGAGTGGCGCTTCAGGCAGCGGCTGCACTCCTCCCGCGCTGGAAACCCCGATGCTGATGCAGCAGGCGGCGGCCGCGGCGGCCGGGCACCGCCGCCGGGACCACCAGCGCGCCCCTGCAGCCGGTGCACCGCCGGCTCAGAAGAGACGCCACCCGAGGCCTGACCGCTGAGCTCCGCAGCGCTGGCAGCTGCCGACTCATGTGCCTGAGCAAGTTCCAGTGCTTTGTTGAGCGTCAACTTACTCTCGCTGAGAAGACGTGACTGCAACCGTTCGTGGTTAATACCACACACGAGTCGGTCGCGCAGCATTTCCTCCAAAACGTTCGCTGCAAACTGGCATGGCTTGGCCAGCTTGCGTAGCCGGGCCAAAAATGTGCTCACACTCTCCTGATCGGACCGCTGACACGTGTGAAAACGATAACGGGCCACAATCA